ACCCGATGTCCACATCAGAGGGGAGGTAAGCGTTGGAGGTGGCGTTCGATCCGGGGTAGGGAGGGTGATGCATGGAATGGGAAGGAACAGACTAAACACAGTCGTTATCAGGGTGTTTTGTTCAGCTCCGGCCTTGCAGCTGGCGCTGAGAGGGTATCCGCATGAAGTGATGGTATTTTTTACTTTAGTGCGAACAGCTCATATGAATTTCAAAGCAGTTCTACAGTCCAACACTGGTCTCTCAATCTCCCGTTGGAGAGCCGCGAGCTTCGCCATACTTGGATTCTGTGATGTTGTCATTTCTTGTGCTCAAGGAGCCAATTTCTGAGAACTCACGGCAGTGTGCCTCCCCAAGATGTCATCCAATTTTGCGCCCAGAGATGTTATTCCGGGCTAGCCCTTCCGAGATGTATCCAGTCTGCAGTCAGAGATCTTATTCACAGATCAGTATCACAGCAGCCGTAGCCTCTCCAAGATCTTATCCGTGCTGACTCAATGAGCCCATTTTGAGAAACTCACGCCTCTCCCATCGTTCCAATCCCAGCGGGCAGCCTTGTGGGCTGCCGAGGAAAAGGCAGATTAAATGATGCTTGATGCTTTGTAAGGAAAATGCTTTTGTGGGTTGAGCAGTAATTCAATTCAATTCAGTTCACTTCAATTTTATTTATATAGCGCCAAATCACAACAACAGTTGCCTCAAGGTGCTTTATATTGTACAGTAGATCCTACAATAATAGATACAGAGAAAAACCCAACAATCACATGACCCCCTATGAGCAAGCACTTTGACAGTGGGAAGAAAAACTCCCTTTTAACAGGAAGAAACCTCTGGCAGAACCAGGCTCAGGGAGGGGCGGCCATCTGCTGCGACCAGTTGGGGTGAGAGAAGGAAAACAGGCTAAAGACACAAACTCAGTAGAGTTGAGTTTACACATGAATCTCTGCCAATACCAAACAGCTTATTCTGCTATTGGCCCTTATTTGGTGTCAGTTACTGGATTGGATGATTCTAGTTTGATGAAACAAGACATTAGGAATTTAATAATTTATCCATTTAACAAACAAGGGCTTCAGTAGCATGTGGAAGAACCATACACAGCCACAACAGCACCTCCTCATGCTGGTAACCAGCTTCGTCACACACTGCTGTGGAATCCCTTTGCTCAATCAGCATTTGTTGCAAGTTAGCTAGTGTGGTTATGTTTGTTACTGTGACACAAACAGCACATCCAAGCTAATCCCACAAGTGTTCAGTGGGGTTGAGGTCAGCACTGCAGGCTGGTCATACCATCCTCTCCACTCCCATTCTGGAGAAAGTGTTTGATAAAGCCCACTCTGTGGTGGTAAATGTGAACGGCCTCCTTGACGCTCCGCTCAAACCAGCGGTCCTCCCTGTCCAGGATGTGTACATCCTCATCATTGAAAGAGTGTCCACTGGCCTGTAGGTGTAAATAGACTGCAGCATCTTGGCCTGATGAGTTAGCTCTTCTGTGTGGTGCCATCCCCAATGTATAAATCGCTGCAATTCTCCTGGCACTTAACAACGTACACTACATTACTCCATTTGTCCCAAGGGACCCGATCCTTGGGGTGGACCAACTTTTGGTGCAGTGTGTTTGGGGGTTTGAAAGCTACAGAGACGCGGTGTTGTCCTTCTCTCCTGGATCGGCTGGAGCTTTCTTTTGGCGCCTTCCCAGCTTTGACAAAAGTCCAGCTGGGATAACCACATTTGCTCAGGGCCTTCTTGATGTGATGCTCTTCTGCTTCCCTGGATGCTGTATCTGTGGGGTGGTGTTCACTCTGTGTTGTAGCGTCCTGATGACACCGAGTTTATGCTCCAGTGGATGATGAGAGTCAAACCTTACATACTGATCTGTATACGTTGGTTTATGGTACACATCAACATTTAAATGTCACCCATTACTCACAGTCTAAGAAGGCTGATCTGTCACTTTTTATATCCTCCCTGCTGAACTTGATGTGTTGGTCCACTGAGTTAATGTGATCAGTGAATTGTAGTAGTAGCAGTTCTGAGATTTGATTTTCACCCAGGTGTCATACCTGAACCAACGACTTAACAGGGCCCTCTTTTCCACTTCTTCCATGTTCAAGTTGGCCACCATGGGTGAAACTGGGGAACCCTTGGCACATCCACGTTTCTGACACAGTTCCAAGAGCCAACACACTTGGTCGGTGCTGAGAGTGGTCCTGTTGCTGAGGTTGGGGTGTAACATAGTACGAGATCATTGTTTCATCTGCCTCCATAATGCCATCTCTCACCTTCTCAACAAAATCCAAGCTGTTCTTGATGTGGTGTTTAGAGCTGCCTACCAACAGGTTGAGGGTCAAAGCCAGAAAATTTGAGATGTTATAGGTGACCAAGCTGATCATACAGACAATTGGTGTTAGAGGTACACCCTGTTTGTGTATCTTTGGTAAACCATACACAGTGGGTAATTTTTCAGGGGCTCATAAGTATTTTTGTCACTGAGCAGTGACAAAACTTAGCAAAACCATGCACCTAACCTTTTCTGCTGGAAGGATGATAATGTTGTTGTCATTACTAAGCGATATGAGCGCCTTCCTCTCCTCCTTGCTGATTAATTATCAAGAAACTGACCTCACAGCCCATTGTTTGTCAGTGATGGTAGTTTCAGTCATTATGCA